CCATATTTATTCAAATGCCATCCAAAGCATACATTTCCAAGCTTCTAGATCGTCACGATTAATTTCTTTTTGAAATGTGACTAGTTATTTTAAACAAAATGTTTATCACCTCAACATCCTAAAGGAATAGGGCCTGGCAAACAAAACAAAGTGATAGTGTAGGGATCGAGGAATAAGTTTTCGATTCACTGTATAGTGAGTAGTCCAAAGTTAAAATCATCTTTTATAACTGAGTTAGCGTTAACACACAATACGAGTAAAATCTCGTCAAAACATGCAGAAAAGAGTCGCTATATTACATAGATCTTACAATTCTCGTTTGTCTTACCTTCAACGACTGTCGTCTCGTCACATAATTATCAGAATTCAGTAAATCTTTATATTTATTGAAAAATGCATCATAATTTCGTTCGAGATAATCAGCACACAATGCTTTATGTTTGGTTAATAAATCCTTCAAGTAACAAATTACAGCAATTTTTTGACATCTATACATGTTGAGTGACTCTTTGAACATACTTTGAATGTTGCAAATGCATCAGATGCAATATCAAACGTTGATTTTTGTACATAATCAAAAAATTTATAAAACTCTGATGATCTTAGTATAATTTCACCTAATTCTTGAACACGTATACATTCACGTAACATCATTCCACAATTTAATGCAATATCAGCATTTTCATAACTAAAATAATATATGAATAAAGTAAAATCGAATAGAGTCTCGAGAACAAAAAAGATAATGATGATATTTACCCTTCAATTAATTTGAATAATATTCTCGGTCGCTGCATAAGATGATCAACAGCTAAAAAACATATGAAATAGAATCAGTATGTGTTTTGAAAGCTTCTCCTGTTAGAGATATTCTTTACAGCCTAAAAATTTAATTACCTGGATATTTACTACCAACTTGTCGACGTAATAAATTATTAAATATTGCAACAATTTCTTTTCGATCTTCGAATGTCACACGATTGAGATTATTAATCATAATTTGTATCAATTCTTGTGAATAAATACCACTACATAATTGTGATACATCACTTATGGGTGGTTCTGAACTTCCATCACGTGGGCCAAATAATCCATCTTTCAATAATAACAATGCTTTATGAATATTTTTAATTACCTATAAGAAGAATGTTTACTCTAATGAGTTTAATTCGAACATTCGTTACTTACATCATCATAATTCTTTTTCTCTTTATCTTCATTTTCAATAATACTAAATAGATCTTTTAATTGTTTTGCTTGATCACTTTTGCTCGGTCTTGTTGCTAATAATGAACTAAGTGGCATTTCTCAAAATACGTACGTTTGTTTTTATTTGCCGCTTTTCTAATTGTTATAATCAATGTTAACTGTTTCAACTTTATTATACAAAGAATATTTTTGTTGATGAGAAAATACTGTATAACAAAAAAAAATTGTCGATATGCTTGTTTTTAGATGAAAAACTTGTTTAATCTAAAACAAAATAAACAAACAAACAATTATTTTTACACTGTTTATTGGAATTAATAGACCGCTGATATTTGATAATTTAGACATGTACGCTATGTGAATATATCGAGAAATGAATATTTTCTTTGAGCAATATCGTGTCTTATGTTGGAAAGGCTCTGCACGTGTTACAATTTAATAAAATATTTTCTAACCTTTAACAGTTGACTGTGATGATGCATCATTGTTTTATGGTCAATAGAAAACCTCCCCTCTGTATAGCCTTCTTCGCTTACACATGTAAACAAATTTTCTATTATACTGATAAGAATAAGTTTAAACGTCATTATATTGCAAAAATTGCACAATAAGAGAGAAAAAAAACACACATTTCATCACGTATTCCTTTTTATATTTTGAATATATTTTACTTCAATCGAATAAATGACTCACTATGATGAAAAGTATATCGAGCGGACCTCTTTCTCAGCTGTTATGAAAACAAATTATCATGTCAAAAAAAACAAACAAAAAAAACAGAAAAATAATGGAGAAATGAACAAAATGATCAAAAAGTGTCGGGTGTAGTTAAATTTGAAAAAATTCATTATCTTTCAACTAATCTATTGTTTGAAAATAAGTGGCAAGATGATACTCAGATAGTAGATTTATCTATCAAAAATTAAAAAGAAAATTTCATATAATGTGCAAGAAACATATGAAAAACTAGTTTAGCAAAAAACAAAAATATACACACTGGAATTTTTAACTTATTTTTTTTTTTTTCATTTGGATGATGTTAGCAATGAACATCTGTTTGCCTTTTAAATATTACAAATTAGTAGTAGAGAAGAGAATAAGCATAAATAAATATTATTTTATTAGTTACGTCGTACAAAAACGATTCATTAAAAGTTGATTTTAAAATCATTTTGAGTTTTGTAATATTCCTTTCTTTTTTTTTTTCAAGTACTTCTCTTTTTACTCAGAATAGAATAATAAAATATTATCATATACCGACAACACTAAATTTTTCATTCAACATCTGAAGCATAAATCCTTTAGCGCGAAAATCATCGTTCACGCTAACTGGCTTCGTATTTTTTTTTTCTTTCTTTTTTTTTTTACACCTGTACAGTTCTCATTCTTTAAAATTAATATATCATTCTAATCTATATTACGTCATGTAAAAAATATACGAAAGATGAAAAATGCATAAATTCGAAATTCGAAATATCAAACAGTTTTTACACACACATACATATATTTGCCGTCTTTTCGCTATTGAATTGGACAGAAAAAAGAAACGTAAAAAGAAAAAGAAAAAATATATAAAGGTAATAAGTAACGACTTTACCATGACTGTTTAAGGGTGAGATCTGCATCGATTGTTTTTCTACTTAATCTCGTTTTTTATTTATTCTAAATTCGTTCTATAATGAGTATGTGATTGATACACCTTAGAAATTCAGTCAATGTTTATTGAGGAAAAAAAGAAAATGTAAATTAAAGATGAGCATAGAAAAAACCCATGAACTTTAGACATATTCAAAAAAAATTTTCAGAACAAGATGGAAAGAATGAATCCTAATATGAGCAAGAAAAACAGATGATTATATGCAAATAAAAATACTCAGTTCAATGGCTTGGATAATGAGTGTACTCTTGAAAAATACCCATTGAAAGAGGATGGTCAAATTTATACGAAATGGAAAAAAACTTACGCCTGCTGTCTAGTGAAATACTATGTGAAAATGTATTACTTTTCTTGTCAATGATGTTGTCTTTTAGAAAACAACTGTTTCCACTTTTTTCAACACTACTATTAAAGGACAATAATGATAACAAAATCTCGAAAAATATTTCTTGATTCATTGGTAAGGTTACTATTTTAAATTCTATACCTTTAATAGACTTACACAATACTTGTTCAAGATAGTTTTCATTTTAAACAGAAATGTATAACTAGACATATTTTTCTTTCAAAATTCTCAAATATTTAAGTTTTTCGTTCTTTGATTATAAATAAATAAAATAGAATGTCAGTTAGTCCTATATATGACATAGGTGAGACTAGAATGAAACATAATGACTCGAAACGGCAGTAGAAGTATAAACATGAAAAAATACTATATACTTAATTAAACTTGGAGCTGTTCTCTATGGGAATCTCGCCTCTCATACACACAATTTAAGTGTAAAATTTCACGTAAAATATGATTAAACATAGTACGAATGAAGATAGTGTTTTGACATTGCATGCTGGATGAAAACATTTTCAAATACTAAACTTCAACATTTAATTAGATAAAAGTTCAATATACTCGGGTACTATGGAAATGTTGTTTTACTGCTTATTATTCAATGTGTTTCGTATAATAATTATCAAATATTTTCACAGGCTTCATTTGATATATCACTCGTAATACCGGATATTTATAAAATATGTTAACACTCATTAACAAGCCCGAATCAAAATTTGATCCACTGAACAGATAGAGTTCGTCGAGGCGGTCATTCGAACATCAAATAATATTTATTTCGATACTTAATGCCAGCTAACTCTACCTGCGTATGTAATTTCGTGATGTTTTTCTATGATTTTGTTTTATTTGCAGAAATTTTTGAAAAAGTCAGAACTCAAAAATAAACCATTTTGTAAACCTGATTTTGAAACGTTTTAGCGAAAATCTCTTGGTTAGGAAATTCAAAACAATGAGGGCCGCTTTACTAATTTTATAAAAAAGATATGCAAAAAGTAGCTCTCAGTGTTTTGAATTTCCTAACCAAGAGATTTTCGCTAAAACGTTTCAAAATCAGGTCAGTCGATAGAGAATTAAATTGTCTATAAAATGGTTTATTTACTTTTGAGTTCTGATTTTTTCAAAAATTTCTGCAAATAAAACAAAATCATCAAAAACATCACGGAATTACATACGCAGGTAGAGTTAACTGGCCAGGCCGAACGGCTACTAACAGTCGAAACCTGGTCAGAAACAGTCAAAAAAAGATATCATCTTCTCTCTAACTTTATAATTCAGTAAATATAAACGTAGTCCAACTTTGAAAGTCGGGTAGTATGTAGTTTCTGTCCTTTTGAAATGTTAATGGGTGTCAGCATATCCTGGAATACTTCGATAACTTATTCGATACTTCAAATATTTCTTTCAACTGAGCGGAATCATTTTTGTAGTCACAAAGTGCATATGAGACGTGAGGTTCTCGTAGAACAACTGCCGGTTGAGTGAGTGTACGATACTTTTTCTTTATGTTTATCTTTTTACCTTTTTGTATCACATTATGTTTATTCTACTCAAATTTTTAATTTCCTCTAGAGTGAAGATTAAAGTATTATACTACACATTTTCGTCTGGTGAAACAATAATGGAAGTGTAACGTACATACATGCATATGAAATATTCATCTGTATTTCTACTTTAAAGAAAGCTACGATAAAATCATAAAAAAAGTCATGGTAAACATCGTTTCTATGTTAATTGTATCAATTTGCTCTTAGTAATTCCATCTTGACATATCTCAACCGTTTCCAGAAGTGTATCACTCAGGTGTGTGTGTGTCTGTGTTGTATGTAGGTGGGTGGGTGTGTATGCTGTTCTTCGATAGGTGATTAGTTGAGACTGAACCATTTAGGAAACATCGTTTACAAATTTGACACATCTATATAGTGAAATACGGATATGCTGTACGAGGGCGACAATACAGTTTCTGTGCAAGAGTAGAAGATACAGGTGTTTGCCATTTTCTCCTCGAAAGCGGGAAATTCTATACTATTTAGCGTCGCTGATCAAAGATTTTATTGAAACGGAGTGGCTTATTTTCGACTGAAAAGATTGTTTGCAAAAAAATTATCGCAGCGGCGTCGTCGATTTTGAGGTCGACTAAGATCCTACCTGCACATTTGAAGTAAGCAATGCGAAGTTTTCCTAAAAAGCTGCAAGCCAGCTGTTATCCGAAGGGATCGGTTGTATCAATAATTCAACGGCACAATATCCTAGTAAAATCCTGACAGGATCCGAGTCATATCCTACTAGAACTTTTTGCTTTTATTTCTTTACTCTAGAGGAAATTAAAAATTTGAGTAGAATAAACATAATGCGATACAAAAAGGTAAAAGATAAACATAAAGAAAAGTTATAGGCTTTTCTAAGATTTTGTTAGGATCCTAAAAGAATTTAAGCGAAACCCTAGTAGGAACCTAGCATTTTAGGATCCTGCTAGAAAGTTTTAAGTAGATCATAAATGGTATGGTCCTGTAAGATTGTAGTAGGAAATAGACAAGGAGTGTGTAGGATTTTGTCTAGGGTATGATACTATATATACGGTATTTATAAACTCATGTCGAGTTCCAGCATCTAAATAACACAAAATAGTTTGCCTGTTCGAGATTTGCCAAGGTAAGAAAGAAATTAGTACCATTTTGAACCATTAAAGATACTCATAATATGTGCAAAGTGCAGTTTAGCTTGAATGTACTCGTGAAAGAAGCAATATTATCATCATACTCGATATAAATCCTCCTTTATTGGTTAAAAGTAGTCGTAGCATTTCTCAAGACAAAAAAATAGAACATCGAAATATCATTGTATACTGTTGTGCAAAGTGAACAAAAATGGAGACAAATATTAACGCTTACTGTTAAAGACAAGTGGTCAACTTTTTGAAAAGAATTATAACTTGAATGAGATTTGTGAGAGAAAAAATTATATGATAAAAGTGTTGATAAATAGTTAGTTTTTAAAGATCTTGTTTAAATGACTGACAACACGTCGAATTTGACGACGTGATCTAAGTTACTCCACTTGTTCATAGCGCTGTTTTTTTAAGGAATGCGCCAAACAGCATGATAATATGACACTTAATAACTATTAATAGAAAGCATAATACATCAGATATAATATATGGCTGCTATTCGTGCTATGAATACATACCGGAAAAAAAGCAATGCCAATGATAACTCCAGCGAATATAGGATAATTTGACTGAATTACAGTTACGATAGCGTTATAACAACCCTGTAATACCATACATCAGATAAGATACATATGAAACAATGTGAAAAGCACATACTTGCAAATGAATATCGCTAGGTGGAATTAAGGACAATGATGTTGAGGGTAAATGTGTTCGATTACATGTATGCGATACATTTTTTTTGCAACATGATTTTGGAACTTGAGTCAAAGCACGACCATAATTCGTATCGAACCAATCATCATAGGATTTAACACCACAACAAGACAGCTGCAAAATGAAATAATAATTTAGAGTCTATTGAACATAGGATATTTATTCTCGGATTGAACGTACTGTACTTTGAAGTCGATCTACCGAACGTAAACTTGGTTGTTTTGGATAATCATTTATTACTTTTCTTAAACTACCTTTAAGTGTGTCTTCTAACTAAAAAAGATTGAAATATATCTTTTTTGTTTTATTATTCAACAGAATCAAGGATTACACACCGACGCTTCTTTTTGTAATACTGTCACAGCCAGTACAATTTCAGCAATAAATATAATAAATACGACGACTGAATACTTTGAATAAGGATAAGAATATGTCAAGAATGTTTTGGACGTGAATATTTGGATAAACTTACGACATGTAAAACTATTACTACTCCTTTCACTGTACTCCAAAAGGCCAATAATCCAATGAAAAATATGATTAGACCAAGACCAATCTAAATAAGTAAATACAACTCAAAATCTGGAAATAATTTCGAAGAAGCTTCTTAAATTACCAAAATATAGGGCGCTGATGATGAACTTTCAGGTGAAATATCGAGAAACGTTGCTATTTGATTTCGAACAACGATACCAACCAAAAATAGAACAGCACCGCTAAACTATAAAAAGAAGTCATTAACAAAATCAGATAGAATACCAAGATCAGTTAACTACTACCAAAAATATGATATTGACAACAGTAAGCAACATTCGAAGAAGTGCTGTACTGAACGAATTATTAAATCGTTCCCAATTCATTATTTTGTTACAACTAAAAACACTTTGCTATGGAAATGAATCTAAATACATAGAAATACAGTATTTTACTGTACTTAGAATAATACAGATTGAGGATTTACGATTTTTTTAAGAGCAGGACAGACCAAATGATAACAAAAATGACTGAACTGTAGAGGGATGCAGGCTACTTGCAGTCTTCTTCTTTATAGTGAATCATGCCCTGAGTGGATAGTAGAACTCAATCAGCTAACAAACTATGATATAACATAACTTTTATTTTCATAGATAAGCTAGAAAATTGCGTTAACTAAACACTTATACTTTCTATACGTTAGAACCAAATATTGATATGTTATAGTACCTTTTTTTGATTAAACAATTAAGCTAGAATATTCTGAAAATGAGTTAAATTATAGAACAATAGTTTTTCTTTTATACTATAGTATTTTGCCCTGTCGAGACATTTCCTTTTTTTCGTCTGACGCTTAATACATACAATAGTAAATTAAAGAAAAAGGATAGAATTGGAGCGAAAATATTTTCTGAGCTATTCTAACATATAATAAAATTGGAAGTCATATACCCATGTTATATAGACACTTAATATCCTCACAAGTTCTGTCTATTGACTTCTTTTCAGTCGCACAAAAACATCTTTATTAATTTTTTTCATGAAAAATAGCGTGCTACAACTTCTACCTTTAACTTTTTTCCAAAAACTGTGGTCTAATCAGTACGGTACAAGAGCGGAATTTCACGATTTTCTCATAAATATTCAGCATTTGATACGCTTTTGTGAGGCACACAACACTAAGTATTCCCGAGTCGCATACTTTACTGAATTTAAGTATATTTATATACTTCATCGTCATCAATATTTTCTACCTTACTTAGAGATGTTTCGAACCGAAACGTTCGAGTTCGAAAGTTCGACATCTAATTTTTCTAATATCGATCGTTTATTCCTTTGTTGTCTGAAACGGTTATCGTTCTTGCTGCCAATATGGGGCGATTTCATTTTGTGTTGTTTTAAACTTAAGAATATAACATTAATAAAAAGATTTCTTTCAAGTACGTGCCTGTATATTTTATAATAAAACTATTTTTTATAGAATGTACAAGTCTCATTTTTGTTTCTCAGTGAACCAATATTCCATCATCTAAAAATCTACTTGAAATCAATTTTTGGTAATTTGACAATGCTTTTTGTTAAATAAAACATATTTTAAATCTGAACTCACTTGATTCATAAATGAAAATTTCACAAAGGATTGTGGACGAAAGATAACAGATATGCGTTCGTAAAAAAGTAGGATTCTTAGTACGTTCACTTCTTAAATCGTAAGAAGCGAATTGAACATGACAATAGGAGATATTTAGAGCGGCTCAAAGTAAAGCAGAACAATATTAAAACATCACAGACACTGGGGCATATTTAAAATCTTTGCCGAAATCTTGAAAAAGCTGGCTTCAAATTTTAATTAACAATAATGTTTTATTCGTCTCATTTTTGTCATGGCGTTCTTCATCATCTATTCAACAAACAAATAGTAATCAGAATAATGAGATTGATGATATAGATATTCTTTGTCATCAATCGATAGTTTTAGAAGTGTTTAGCTCTTGGTTCTCCACCACTAATGCATCGATCGTCAATTGATGTTTTAAGAAATTATTAAATTCCAGTATTATTTATGCAATCGTGTTTAACAGTGGCATCGTGACACTAGGCTCTCGATATACCCATTGAAAACTATAGCGATAAATCTACTATGTGTAGTATCAATGATAGTATCTCGTTTTTATGTTACAGCGCTAGGTAAATTTTAATTGTTTTCCTTCAATGCAAGTGAAAAAAAGAATGTCCGTTTGTCCAAGTGTTTATGCACGATAAAATCTCATTGAATAAAAATATAACCGTGGTTAAAAGTTAGGATAAAAACAATTGACCATGGAGATTTCAGCAATGAGCATAACGGATCTCTACGAGATTTTCGAACGTTAATCAGAAAGATTTTAGATTCGGTTTGTATATATCTCAGAATAAGTTTACAACTAGTAAAAACTCTAAATAGAGAGAATTGTATTCGGTTAATACTACTTCTTCCCATAGCTTACTGGCGTGAACATTTGTAGAAAAATTGTAGAAAATAAACAAAGCATCAAATTCAAAACCTATCAAAACATCACTTTTACCAAACCCTCAAGCTAGTTAATAAAAATAACATTTTTTGCTATCGTTCGGTCTTCGAGATGCATGACATACAAAACTAAATTCAAGCAACTCTGCTGGAACCGCCATTGGAAGAGGTTCATTACATTGTCAAGATAAATATTGTGATATCAAATGTTTTAATTTGTAGATTATATCAAAAACATTTCTGAAAAAATACATTGAAACGCGTTCAAATTCATTTAATGAATCTAATTAAAAATTCCTTTCTTTCTACTGTACTATCTTTATCTTGACTACCTGGCGAGTAAAAAAATCTGTAACTAATTATGTACCTGAAGTAGGGTCAAGTTTGGATTCAATTTTTACGGCGCGTTCTTACTTCCACACTTTATGACCGTCTTATAACTTCTAACAAAGTAAATCAGGGGAGTATTTACGCTTTTATTTTATTTTAAAGTGGTCGAATAAACAAATCTGTCACGATTTGCATTGTAAATTAATCATTATTAAATTTTTATTAAATATTTTCAAGGTGTGCTCAAAATTTATCAGCACAGGTACAGATACAAACATAAACATTGTAGAAAATCTGCAGCAGAACTTCTAATGAGAATCTCAAAAGATTTTAATAGATCTATAAAAGTTGTTTTGAAGATCTAGTACAAAATTTTAGAAATCTCTGAAGGTTTAATAAGACGTGTATTGACAAGTTCTCTTCTAGCATGAAAAATAAACTAATATATATTATTAACACGGTGCACTGTGCCCTCTAAAAAAAGCGTCTTCAATTCCGAAAAAGACGCATAAATGTTCTGTAAAAGGTCGCATTTATGCGTTCTTTTCGGAATCGGAGACGCTGCTTTTTTAGAGTTTGATGAAGCAGGAACTGATCTGTAGGTTTGGAGAAGAATTAGTCCACACCTAGCCTATCTCCGATATCCGCTATAAATGAACACTAATAAATCTTTAAACATTACTCGTGTGCTGTGTTATGAATTTGTGAGATAAAATGATTGTTCCGTTCGCAAATAAATATGGATAAGCGAAAAAAATATTCTGGAGAATTATACAAACCACCTACACGATTCATTATAGGAGAGCGAAAAGTAATACTTTCATGAAATGATAGTTCTCATTCATCAGCATGAACATTAAAAGAAAGAGAAAAAACATTTTAGAAGCATGAATATATAAATAAAAGACAGAAAAAGACAAATAATAATCGTTGGTTGTAAACCATCGAAATATAGTTAGCATCAATGAAGAAATAAGAAAGCATGTCCCTATAGTATTATGAATTACTAATCTCTATATGCATATATGAACTCAAATAACAGTCGATTGTTTCTTTTGTTTTTGCATTAGTGTCAATAGAACGAAATTATAACTAAAATAATTGAAGTTATTTAAATATCTGTTACAAGAGCATAATGACCTATCGAATAACAAGGCTTCTCTTTATTTGCAAATTGAACGTCATGCATAACATGGGAGACGAGATAGACAGATGCTTTCATCGCTTTCTATTTAATGCGGTGCGAAGCAGAGACCGCATTCTAACGGGCGAGCCCGAGGAAATGAGTCCTTTAGTATTTTTTCTTTATCTCTTGATACTTCAGCCCCCTAGAGTTCATTCTTTTTTTAAAAGATGCGTTGTTCAATTCTATACACGATTGTATATAAATAGTCTGATAAAGACCAAAGCCTCAGCTCTAATCGAAGAAAAGCAATAGTCGTGCAGAAGCCTCAAGTTGAGGCCCTCAACTTCCTAACAAATAAAAGTCGGTTTTTCAAAAAGGAAATCGGACTTTCTGATTGAATGAATTATAAACAGTCTAAAGTGAGCTTTTGAAAACTCTATCGACTGACTGATACGAAAATTTTATATCATTATTTTTGACTTTTTGATACAAGATTTACGAAATGGTACAAACCCACTTTTTACCATTTTCGGATATGCAGTTTGGCACCTTCTAATAAAATCACTATAAGTCAGTCAAAATTGAACTAAATAAACTCATTATTGCGTCATTTTGTACAAAAATGATTTCTCTACCAGAATAACGAGGAACGAGTCGATGAGGTCACTTATCAAAAACTGTTGATTCCCTCCTTCGAAAATGTTCACGATTTGATAAGTCAAATTATTAATCAAAGATATCTACTCCGAAAGTCAGCTGGAAAAGTTGAATTTTGATTCCGTCGGATAGAGCACACTTGATAGTGCAAGGCAATATCCAAGTATCACATTGGACAACCACTAACATGATTTTTACTGTGGATCAAGTTTATTAAAAGACTTTTACGAAGTTGAGGCTTCTGCACGACTATTGCTTTTCTTCGATCAAAGCTGAAGCTTTGGTCTTTATCAGACTATTTATATACAATCGTGTATAGAATTGAACAGCGCATCTTTTAAAAAAAGAATGAACTCTAAAGGACTGAAGTATCAAGAGATAAAGAAAAAATACTAAAGGGCTCATTTCCTCTGGCCCACCCGCTAATAAACTGTGTATTTACTTTCTACGATACAAAACTGTCATTTTCTGTAACGATTTTCCCGTAAACTAGAAGGGCTACCGTAATTTTAAATGGCAGCAGCACCTCTTTTGAGACTTTGTGTCTAATCCAGTCATTAACAAGAAGGCTCGAAAGAAGGTGTTTTGAACGTTTGAGACTTGTTGTCTTTTCAAAAAAAAACGGATAATTAATCTGAGTCTTACTTTGCAGGTTTAAATAACGCAATGATAAAGGTTAGAGCATAGTTGCAAGAGAGAGCATAATTATGGTAGAACGTTTGTTTAATCATGGAATTAATCTATTTCGATTTTCACTCTCTCTCCGAGGCTGTATTTAAGTCAAGATAAGGAATTCAAACTCTCTGCTTTTTCCGAGATTCTCTAAAATTTACACAAATACTCTTTCACGTGACTAATTTACACTTTATTTAGTTCTTTCCTGCAAATAATACTGTACATAATTTAACAAAAAAACTGAGTTCTCTGTTGCCGTATCCTTCATTCTCTTGTTCCTGCTTTGCACCGCATTCGCAACTCTCGCTAGCGTAATTGTCGCCTATTTTGTAACGATACCATTGACTTAATCAACGTGTTCAAAACTGAAACTTGTTCACCCCTTCTTAGTTCACAAGAGGGAAATATCTCAAATGTCCTCTTGTTTTCTCGCTAAAATGTACAAAGCATTTGTGATGCTGATTACTACTATAGCCACACATAGCGGCTTCTTAAATGAATTTATTGGGAATGGCCCTCTAAAAACCTTTTATAAAAATAAATTTTGAGATGCCACATTATAGATCACGTCAAATCATCCGTCTCTAACTGTTTTGGAATGTGTAACTTGCCCTTTTTTTCTTAATTGGAGGAAGCATAAGTGATAGATGCTTTTTCCATGATATATTACAAATTATTATAAGGAGAAGTAGAGCAATTGTGACACCTCGGTATTTTAGATCATTGTTACTTTTTCAACATCTTTCGCTACTTGGACCGCTGTTTCACCGTTCATCATCAGGGCCTCAAATAACGGGAGGGTGTAGAAGAGTGCGCACCCCTCGAATAATTGAAAAAGCTGTTGTTATTTTATCAATTATTCCTCGTACAAAATGTTTTTATCGGTTTTACACTACTTCAGAGAGAAAATTTGTTTTACACCTTCCTAACGCTATTTGCGGCCCTGTTCATCATGCCTCACAAAGGCCGTCCTTGTAAGTCGAAATTGCTAATTCTACCATTATCGATCTTATTAGGTTGAGGAAAAAGTTCGTGCGCCGTGTTAAAATAATGATTTTTTATATATTTTTTTTTGTGTTTTTGATCTGGTTTTGTGGCTATTATGAAAATTTATTGATTTTTGAAACGCTTG